TTTAGTGGAAAGGGGGGGGGGGGGTGTTTTTAACAAAAAATTCAACTAGTGGTATATGGCATCGTGCCTTAAGGCAAATTGCTGGAACTTTCCGTACCGTAATGAAATATTCGAGAAGTTTGAAACGTTTTCAAATATATTATTACAACAAATACTGTAACTTTCATTATTTTTGCTATCCTGTTATATCTGAGCAAATCAAATGTGAATCATAAATTAATTGATTTATCTCCAGAACATAAACAATTGTCATTTCATTCCAAATTCAATTTCAAACAAAAAAAAAGTTGCCTAATTTACACAAAATTGAAATAGTGCTCCCGTATAGTCACATTCTAAACGCATTTGCAAATAATTCTGTGCGACATTTTTACTTATAATGTGCTTAGCTTGGCGGCATTTTCACATTTTTCAATAGTTTTCACAAAATTAGAAAAGTGCTCCAGTACATGAACAGTCTAAACGCACTTAGGTAAACATTTGTACCAGAGTTGCGCTTAGACTGTGCTTAGCCTGGGTGATTTTTTTATTTTTTAATCTAATATTACGAAAAAATTTTTTGAAAAAAAAATAAGAACATTTTTTTTCCAAAAGCAATTATTTTGTTGAAACAAGCAGAAAGTTCTTTGAATCATTTATATCGGACGCTTAGTTCTCTCAAAAACCGCCATTATTTTAACATTTAGCTCTGTATCTCCGAAACCGCTGGGCCTAACATTGCCAAAAGCTAACAACCACTTTTCCCCGTCATTACGAACTGAATGTTTTTTGAATCATACAAATCGGATGATCCGTTCTCTCAAAAACTTAATTTCTGTTTTCTGCACTCTTTGCTCCATATATCCGTAACGGCTGGACCTGCCTTTGCCAAAAACTAATCAGCACATCTCTTTTTTAATTGGAATCGAATGTTTTTTAAACCATTCAAATCCGTGTTCATCCGTGCGCCCGAAAATGTGGATGAAAAAATGCGGACATACAAAACACTCATACTCATACACACACATATCCATTTAGTTTCTGAGGTATGCCCTTTAAAAATGTTCAGAAACCTTCAAAACGTCGAGAAATGCAAAAAAAAAATATTTTTGATTTTCAGCCTATTACTGTAACGGGAGGATAATAAACATAAATTTAATTTTCTTGATAATAAAATTATATGTCTATTCACTTCTTAGTAGAATCTTCTTCTTTTTCTGCACTCGCATTTCAGTTGCAGCACATGCTTGTTTGTAGAATCCATTTTTTATATCTTTCTGAACCGATTTGAATGATTCAAAACATTTCACTTTAAAGTTCTAAAATATATCCTCGATAGTGTGGATCAACCGACTTGAATGGGTTACGATATTTTCAAGAAATTTCAAAATTGTCAAAATACTAAAAAAAATTACAAAATTCTAAAATGTTCTAAATTACAGTACGGGAAGTTTCAGCAACTTGCCTTAAGGTACGATGTCATGCCCAAATAATTTTTTTCTTCTAAATTTTTTTCTCCTCTCGTCAAACGGAAAGCGAACTTTATTAATTAATTCTTATAATTCTAAAAAAAATTCACAAAATTCTAAAATGTTCTAAATTAGAGTACGGGAAGTTCCAGCAACTTGCCTTAACGTACGTTGTCATACGCCCAAATAGTTTTCATCTTCCAATTTTTTCTCCTCTCGTCAAACGGAAAGCGAACTTTATCGTCAGAGAAACAGCATCAAAAGTAAAATTAATCTCACTTCATCCAGAGGCGATAATTATTATTATATGAAGCGGCAGCAAAAAATCGCTCGTTCGCCGTTCTTGCATTTTATTTGTATCGAGTAGTAGTGGCATCTTTTATCTTTTATCTTTTATCTGCTGCAACGTCCGGCCCGGCCTTCGAGATCCGGTTTTGCCATGCGACTAGTTCCGGCCGATATCGGAAACGGATAGGCCGGATAGAAGGATTCTAAAACTTTGGAGAAAAGATAGGAATTGAGATATATTTTGAACCCATAGAAAATGATATTGTAGGACAATTCTAAAAAATATACTAAAAATTACTTTTAAGCTATATTTATGTTAAAGACTGTACTGATCTATACATGTAACTTTCTTGTTTATTGCAATTAACTAGATGAAGAAACTTGACATAATATCTCTTCTATATATATAAAAATATGTCGGGTTTTCCTTCTTGACGATATAACTCCAGAATGCACGAACCGATTTCGACAATTTTGCATTCGTTGGAAAGGTCTCGGGCTCCGTGAGGTTTATAGCTAAGAAAATTAGTGGTGCATGGCATCGTGCCTTGATGAAAATTGCTGGGACTTCACGCACCGTAATTAAAAATTCGAGTAATGACATTAGTGAGAATTATCAGAATTATGCTTGCAATTAAGTCAACGAGCAATTCTTGCCGCAAAGAATAATGACGTACGCGCACTGAATTTCACCATTCAATCAAAAATTGCCGGCGATTGGGTGACATACCAATGATTCCGACTGGTCTTCCGTTTGACTTCAAACGATTGCAATTTCCAGTTCGCCTTGCGTTCGCAATAACAAGTCGCAAGGCCAATCGCTTAGTGTTTGCGGAATATATTTCAAATAGATTATTTAGAAAATCATTGTTTTTCACATGGGCAGTTATACGTTGCCTATTCACGAGTTGGAAAACCATCCGTTGTATTTGTGTTAACGTCAGACCAAAAAACAAAAAATGTGGTTTACCAAAGAGCACTTCAATGAAACGGATAATTTGCGGATTCACTTTCATTTACTTAGGGAAGTTCAACTAAAAAACACTTCATTTTTGTAATCGAAATAAATTCATTACTGTTGTGCATTAAAATCAATTTTTTTCTTTTAAAATATAAAACAAACAAAAATTTCTTCATCTTTCTCACAAAACCATCTGGTGGCGAAACGGAGTTCGTCGGGTTTGCTAGTTTGAATATAAAAATTAGTGATGTGCCAAGTCGAATCAAGTGATTCGAATCATTCGAATCAAGCCTTTAACGACTTGATTCGAATCAGATTTTACATGATTCGAATCAACTCGCATCAAGCCGCAAAATATTTACTGTGATAAAATATGTATTAACACAATTTTTTTATAAATATAAAATTTTTCATAAATATAAATATAAAAAAAATGTTTTGATTTAATTCAATATTATAATAATATAAAAAATAAATATCATAAGTATAAAAAATAAATAATGAATTAAATCAAGCGAGCCACCCGACTTTAATATGCTTAAATGTATCAGCCAACTCCAATCGTCTTTGTGTGACTTTAACCGCATTCATCGACTAACTATATCATCCGACTTCATATGACTCAAACCGAATCAAGCGGCGATATGAGTTATTCCGACTTCATGACTCAAACCGAATCAAGCGGCGTTACGAGTTATTCCGACTTCAATTCTGATTCGAATCATCCCGACTTCAAGCCGTTCGAGCGATATGAGTTAACCGTATGGGCGATACAATGCGTCGTCGTTCTTGCGTGTATTTATTTATTTTACGGAGCGCTGAGAGCGATTTTGTTCGTGAAATATCAATACCCAATTTTGATAATAATTAAGTGTTTTAGATTTTAAATGTTATCAGAATAAAACACTCGAAATTATGAAACGAGTTTCGGGAATCTTTCAATATAATTCTCTTTTGAAACAATTACTAAACACCAGAAAGTCAGTAAATAATATGTTAACTTCTGATTATGTAAGTAATGGCAAATTCACATTAATGAAATTAACTTTCAGCTCTCAGTTTAGATGCGATCCTTTACTGATTACATAGTAAAATAAACAATCGACCCATGATTCCAAATATTATTTTATATGCTTTAGTGATGCACAATTGTTTGGTAATCTATTATTGTAAATTAATTTGAAGATATGTTTTAGCCGTCCTCAAAATTACATCATTTTTAATAATTTTCAGAATATACTTTTTGATAGTGATTTATGTTTACAATTTCTACTTTGTCGGTTATATTGGTTAAACTGACAATTTTGATTATAAATTTGGATCACTTTTACTAAATTAATACATCCATGATTTTTTTTTGTCCATATATATAATTGATTCGAGTTGATTCGAATCATGATTCGAATCAGGTTTTTTTCTGATTCGAATCATTCGAATCGGGAATTTTTCGAGTCGGCACATCACTAATAAAAATACAGTATTAATATCGATACAGGATTATATGTTACTATTCAATATCATTCTAGGGTATATCAAGAAGATTTAAGGTCTTCATTATTTTAAAACATTTAAAATTATTTAATTTTGAAAAAAAAAATGACTCAAACCTCATTTATAATTATTTAAATTTTATGAGCGATATCAAAAATTAAACACAAAATATTTTTTTATTTTTAATTGCAGTTGAATAGTACATCAAACCGATATAGCATGTTGTGATGTTAAAAAATGCTTTATTATTTATTTTCGAACAAAATCGTCAAAAATTCTATTTTTTTAAATCCAATCTTTTTAAAGTTACAAGATATGAGATGAAGAAATACCTAATAATGAATACAATTGCAGTAATAAATAAAAAAATTAAATAAAATTAACTAAATATAATTAAGTTTATAGTAAATAAAAAAAATAAATAAATATGTAATAAAATAGCTAATAGTTAATTAAATTATATTAAATCTGCAAAATATTGACTTGAGCCTTATTGATTGCAAAATAATATATAAATAAATAACAGCAGTTAAAGAAGTGTTTTGCAAAGTGGGATAAGCTAAAAATAACAACAACATTTCTTAAGGAATTCTTAATAGTTAAAATTCATATTTGGAGGTACAAAAAATTAAAAAAAAAGTTAAAGTTGGGCATAGTTTACAAAGATCGAGAAACACTGAACAAAAGTCTTAAAGATTGCTAAAAACTGAAATTTTATCTTATTATATTTTTTCATATTTAAATAAAATATTTTTCTATCTTAATCGATGTTGAATATTTCATCATTTCAATAAATGTTCTATTTCTTTCAGAGTGCCCCATAAACGCGTGATGGGATGATATCATCTGAAGGGCAGCCGTGCCTTAATGGGGCCCGCCAGAACAACATTAGACCCCATGCCAGGAGGTAAATAGATTAAAAATCTAAACAATTTATTATAAACTAGATGACCCGACAGACGTTGTAACATACTAATATTTACCGTTTACCTAAAAATAATAATTATTGTTTTTTAAATTATTTTTCACGCCAAAATGCATATACATTTATGATATGAGCGATGTTAAATGTAGAACTGCTTTAAATAAAATGATGAGACTCAATTCTCACACTATATTGGAAATTGAAGTCTTTTAAACGGTCCAACTTAACCATAACCACAACATAACACCGGTACTTCATGCTGGATTAAATTAATTTAATTTTTTATTATTTAAGATATCCAAAAGTGCATCTTAAACTTTTCCTAATTGATATCGTGAGGGCCGAATTGTATGTATTCATCTTTACTTTCCCATTTGTTGTTATAAAGTGAAATTTTTACGAATTTTGAAAATATTGTGGAAAGATTAGTAAAAGTTGCAAAGAAATTATATATAAAGAAAATTTAATATCCGAATCTTGTGTTGGCGCCCACTAAGGCGTGCGCTCGTATTTTTCGAATGCATCGCATTAAAGGTAGGACCGGCCCTGATTAATACTTAATTTCATGTTTTAAGTGAATTAATTTGTCAAATCCTGTTCATATGTGTATCATTCAATCTGCCATACATATACTGTATTTTATATTATTTTAATTTCTGGCACATCTCAGCTGCTTTTTGGCAATAATAATGTAGATATTTCATTTTTCTTGTTCATAACCTTAAATTTATTATACATATTCTAATATTGTCTAGGTTCATAACTAAATTGAAATTTTGGGCAGATGATAGTTTTCATTTGTTTTCAATGCAAACAATGACATGTCGTTTTTACATTGTTTCCCATTTATTTCTACAATGATGCACATACATTCTAGTACTTTATAATCACATACACCCTAGAAAATTTCCTTAACAAACTTCAGAAATATTTATCAAAACCCGAATAATCGTTTAGGGGGAGTATACGGTGAGTGCTTGTGATTTAATATTAACTTTATATAATAGCAATAAAGATGAAATTGAATCTACGTTTTAGTTAGAAAACGATTGTATGAGAAAAAGAAACAGCTATTTTTAGGGTTTTCCCGGCAATTATATGATTTTTTCTCGCCTTGAGAACCATCCTTGGACTTCAACGAAAATTTTATAATAAGAATTGGCCAAATTGGTCCAGACGTTGTTGAGTTATGTGCTTACCAACACATTTTGCGATTCATTTTTATATATAGGAAGATTAAATGTATGTTATTGGTCATTTATAGAAGGCTGGACAACGTCCATCTGCAGGACAGCTTGTATCGGAGCAATTCGAGTTTGGACCTGACACCGGAACACATCAGGAACGGTGCAAACAGAGACAACAGCAGCAGGAGGTCACCAGGAGATAGCAGACCTGGTAAGAAAAATTATTTATTAATCATCCAAAATATGTCTGGTCTTTTTTGCGTAATAAGACTGCTTCTAATATTATTCCTAATAGATTGTGCTATCTAGACAAATATTATGATTCTCCTGATGCTATTGTTGATGCATTCAATTCTTACTTTATTAGTGTTTATCAGCCTAAACTTGACATACCCATTTTATTTGATCATAATTTGATCAAGTGAAATTGATTTTGCAACTTGTTAAAAGAACTCCAAAATATTTGGTTTCGATGGTATTCCATCATTCTTTATACGTGATTGCTCATCTGCTCTATCTGATCTACTTGCATTTTTACTTAATCTATCATTGCGTACAAACACTTTTCCAAATTGTTGGAAAATTGCACGTTTATTTGAAACTGGACTTGAAACCTAAAAAATTTGGCGGTATTTTAATCTTATTAGAGGAACTTGTTCTGCAATGAATAATTCACGTTAAATTTTACTAAATTTTAATATTTGTATACCGTTGTCGAAAGAATATTTTTAAAAAAATTAAATTTTCAAAAATTTAAAATAAAATTTATGTCAAATCAAGATGCAGTTTATAATTTAGAAGAAATAAGTTACAATGAATTTATTTAAATGGATTTTATATTGAAAACCAACTTTTAAACAAGGTGATACATCAAACATTACTAATTACAAGCCGATATCATTATTATCAAACTTTGCTAAGGTATTTGAAAAAAATATTTATAGAGAACTAATTCCTTCTGTTAGAACTTTAATTTCTACTAATCAACATGGGTTAATGCCTGCCCGTTCTACGATAACAAATTTAATCTGTATTAAACAATATATAGCTGAGAATCTTGACACTAAAGGACAAGTTGTTAGATGTTATTTACACTGACTTCAGTAAAGCTTTAGACAAAATTGATCATAACATTCTTCTTACTAAATCATCTAAGATCGGTCTTAATTCTTCACTTATTCACTTTTTTAAGAGTTATCTCCATAATCGCAAGCAGTTTGTCTATCTTAATGGATTCTTGAGCAACATTGAAAATATCAGTTCAGGTGTTCCTCAAGGATCCATTCTTGATCGACTACTATTTATTATTTTTATCAATGACATATCTGATATTATTAGCTGTCTACATTTATTATTTGCAAATGATCTCAAACTATATCTCAAAATAAATTCTATTGATGACTGCTTATTATTACAGTCTCAACTTGACTCTTTCCACTCTTGGTGTGTCTATAACAAATTACATTTAAATATATCAAAGTGCAAGATTCTTAGTTTTTCACATAAGCGCGTTCCAATACATTTTGATTATAAAATTTCTAACACCAGCATTGATAGATGTAATAAAATTTCAGATTTAGGAGTTTTATTTGATTCTGGTTTGTTTTTCACTGATCATATAACTGATATTTGTAATAGAGCACATAAATCTTTAGGTTTGATACTGAGAAATTGTAAACAATTCAATTCTACCAATGCACTTCTTTGCATGTACTATTCTATTGTACGTTCAAAATTAGAATATGGTTCGATCATTTGGTATCCACATAAAATCAACAACTCTGATGCGATAGAGAAGGTTCAGCGAAAATTTCTGAAATATTTTTATTATAAAACATATAAAATTTACCCTGGACGTGGCTTTGACCACAACACTTTACTAAAAGAATTTGGTATTCCTTCCCTTGCCTCACGTCGATTTATCTGTACAATTATGTTCTTATTTAAGCTTTGCAATAATTCTATAGACTGTCCTTTTATTCTTAACCATCTATCCTTTAATGTTACAAGGCTATCTACGCGTTTACAATTCCTACTCCTAAATCTAATTCTCTCTTAAATTCGCCTATTTTACTTATGTCCTCTAACTTTAACTTAATTAATAATGAAATAGATATTCACAACACTTCACCTAATAATCAAATAATCTCCATCTGCAGGAGTTAACCTTTTTATTTTCTTTTGAAATATCTCATTATTTTATCTTATTCTGTTTATAAATAATATTGTTACATTCTGCATTATATGTAATTTTATGTTAATAACTGTATATATTGTAATTTTGTATATATTTTAATGATTATTCATTATGTAAATTAATTGTATTTTTTCTTGGAAGAAATCTGTGGGCTTTAAAAATAAATAAATAATAAATAAATAAATAAAAAAGCATTATGCTTGTTTATATTAACTATCTATATTTTTATTTTAGGTGCGTTGAGGCGTCAATATGGTTCCCAAGGTTCAATAGACATACTGAGCACATCCGGTGGTTCGAATGCAGGCGGCGACGGTTTCTTTTCTATGCTGCAGGGCTGCACCAGGCCTAACGAGCAGCACAGATCCACAGGTAAAAATCTCGATAACCCAATCAAAACACCTCATCAATTTACATCTAACTCCTGTCTTTATTTAGGGTCATCAACCGAATACCTGCGAGTAAGACTGTCAACAATATCAACACCACATTCATCCCATATTACAACTGTGACTTCGTCCGGTCATCAAACGGAATGCGACGGTATCAGGAAGACAACTTTAACATCTATTCATCAGCAGACGTCATCTTTGCACAGGAACAGCCTTCCATGTCCACCTCCTGCAGGACCAAGCCCGAAACTAAAACACAAATTACAAAGGCTTTGGCCATCATCCAACGGTAAACAGAAAGGTAAGGGATAAACGATTGATGTAAAAAAAAAAGAGTGCGCGTAAGGATCACACACGATTGAAATAAAACTTATTTGCTACTGTACAAAGTAGCAAATTTAAGTTTAGTAAACATAAATACATCATATAATAATTTTGAACGATGTTTATTAGTAATATGGTAACACTCGTGATGCACTCATTATTTATTAGTGTCGTCAACCATTATACACATTTATATAATGATAAATTATAAAATACATTTTTATGATTGCATTAAAAATATGTATAATATTTATAAGCAATAATGTATGCAATCAAAGTCATATTTGAAATATGACATGATCGGTTTAAAGTAATTGCTGATTAATAAATTCTATAATATTTATTCACACAGTGGATTATGTTAAACAACGCCTAAACGAATATTGTTTTCACAATTCCACTCATCATGTAATAATTGTGTTTAGAAAACTTCATGTAATTAAAATTAACATACATTCATTGACTGCTTTTATTTTTTTACTTTTTCGCTGACGATATGATCTCATTCCTTGAACAGTTGTAATATCTGTCTTGCCTAAAAAATTGAAGCCATACTTTTATATTTGTTTTATTTATCAAGCCCTGCACACAGCTTGATTTATGAATCATTTTATTTATGTGAACGTTAATGTAATGATCATCATCAATATTACGAGGTAATAAATTAACGATATTTTCAACGTCAACAGGCACATTTATAATTTGTCCAAATATTCCAAATTGTCTATTTGCATGTCGCAATCGTCTAATTTGCACGAAACACAACCTAAGTGAAATTAACCTTTCACATACAGTATCTAGTTTAGGTAGATAATTTGGTATAGGTGGAAATACAAACCCGTTAAATTTACACAAAGTGGGGAATTTTACCCGAATTTAATACCTTTCGACAAGTTTGACATCCCACCTGATTATTTGAATCAATATTCAAAAAAACATTATTAAGAATTTGTTTTTGAATATTTCTAAATCACTTTGAAACCAAAGTCTATCACACACAAAGCATACATAGCCTAAGCTATCATTTGTAAATTGTTTTTCAAACAATTTTCGTGCATTCCTAAACAAATTGAAGTCTTTATATGGAAGTTCAAATACTTCATTTGACTCTTGCAAAAGATCAGTTCTTGTCACATTATATACAGAATCATTAATTTGAAATTGACGTGATGTAGTTGCTGTATCAGAAAAAGTCACACCAGTACTTTCATCTAAATAGATAACAGAATAATATGTTTAAATGTGAATAGTTGAAGCGTTTTTCAGGAGTCAAATAGCAAAAAAAGATTCTTACTTATGTCAATGGTGTTGACATCAACATCTAAATTGATACCTCTGGTTCAAGATTTTCTAATAAATTGGCAGTAACCGATTATTTTCCTCCAGTTGTTTTATTTGACGATGTAATCTTGATCTTTCAGAGTTTGTAAGAGGCTTTGAACCTGCATCAATATTTATAATTACTATCATAATAAATTAAAATTAGTCTCCATAACCATCATAAAAGAGAAACGCGTAAACTTACGTTAAATTTCCAATGAAGAAATATTGTTTTCACAATTTCACTCATCATGTAATCGTGTTTGTAGAATTTCATTATTGACTGCTTGGTTGTTTAAATACATAAATAATTTTATAAAAATATTTTTCATTTTAGTAATAACCTCAAAGGTATATAGTAACCTCGAAAAACTCGAATAATACAAATTACTTCAATAAACTTACATTTCTTACACAGCGCAGATTTTTCATATGTTTCATTATTTGCGATTATTTGCACTACAATTATTTATGGGAGACGGGATAAAATATTCTTCCGATGACCAATCAGAATCAATCCGTATAGAAATCATATCATCGAAAGTGAATGACTCTACTTCACGTTGGCGTAACAATTTCCGTTGCATTTGTACGTATTTACACCCATGTCGCGTCTAAAGAAGTTTTACTTCAATAATAAATGATGGAGGATAATAAATGATGGATATTTTTTCTAGTTAATTCAAGTAAAATGGCATCACCGCTTACACAAACACCTGGCGATGATTTGCCGACTGTGACTTCATCAGGATCATGTGCTGTTACATCGAGTTCTGCTGATATGGAGGAGAGACAAAGGAGACGAGCATTTGCACATTACGACTGCCAATCGTTAACAGTAAATCTAGGTAAATAGAAGTTCATTTATACTAACCACAATCATGGGCCATAAACTTCTAGTTTATTATGGGTTTTCTAGTGTAGAGCGATGAATTTTAGGTCATTTTTAAAGTGTCGTAAAAGAAAGCAATGAATGTTTTTACTATCCACTTTTTTGCCACTTGTTAATTAATATCATTAAAATACAAAACAAAAATTAAAAAATAAAAAATTTGAAAGTTGTAAAAAGTGGCAGTTGATAAAGTGGGGGGTCTCAAAAAATTGGCACCTCAGTCTTGACATGATTTCAGCCCTCCTAGCCAAATAAAAAGATTATTAATCTACAATGATGTCGCAATGGCCCGAACCAGCAATGAGTAAACAATTTTTTTTTACAAATTGGCGTCTGTTTGAAGAAAAAAGTGTCCTTTTTTACTGTTTTTTAAGTTTCTCGAATTTTTTAAATATAGTAAAAATTGGAATTTGGGTAAGGTGCTAGTTCGGACTACAGATAGGTCTATAAACAAGACTCTCTGAACATTTCAAGTGAATCGGTCGAGTAGAACTCGAAAAATCGTGTCAACAGTTCTGAAAAGGTCTGTTCTGAAAAAAACGCATTTAAAGTTTTGCGTGAAGTTTTTTGCTGCCAAAGTCATAAAATGATATGTTGTACTTTTTATATTTAATCTGTCATTTCTGCTTTATGCATCGGACCTTCTACTTAAAAAAAAACTATTTTCTGCATTTCTCTCTTCCAATCGAGCAATTTTAGCTTCCTTTGAAGCGTTGGATGTGTACGTATTTCAAATTGGTTTAATCCGGGCATTGTCTCGTCTTACGGCAAATGAATGAGTTTCTGGCCTAATTTGCATTCCCATAAGAATCATCATTTTTAAAATCGGAAAGAAACCTTTATTGAATATGCAAACAGCAATAAATGTTGCTTTTCAATTAGCCGAGATCGGGAATGAATATGTTTCGGCGCGAAAATCCAAATCAACGAGTTTAGAGATTCATTATTCTTCTGAGTTTGTGAACAATTCATCTAACGATAAACTATCTTAAGGGGCACAACTAATGTAACCGCCTAAAAAAAGGCGATTTTTAATTTTTCAATCATTTCAAAATTTTAGTAATATATTTATACATGTTTTAAGAATACATAGTAACATTTTTGAAGAAAAAAATTAAATAGTTTTTAAGTTATCGTCGATCTCCAACGGCGCGACAAAAAGAAGGCCCTTCACTGGTGCAGTAATACCGGCCTTCTATGTGGATGAAATAAAAAAAAAATTCTCGTTAAACTAGATAATATTTTCTGTAAAATGAACTACGATAAAAGAAGTAAATCAAAAATTGACAAAATGGCGGCGTTTTTTTTAAAAAAAAGTCGAATTTTACCCAAAATTTTGGTCGTTTTTCGACTGCCAAATTTCGATCTTTGATCCGATCAAAAAATCGATAGTTCATTTTACGGAGAACTATATACAGAACATGCAAAAAAAATTTGATAGTGATCGGATCATTCATTTTTGATTAATCACTGCAGCAAATTCGGAAAATGCTGTTTCGAGAAAAACGCGTTTAAAGATAAAATGATCGTTGTACTATATACTATATATATACTTTTTAAATGGCTGTAACTCAAAAACTATTTGAGATATCGATTTGAAATTTTAATATGTTATTTTTAAAGGTGTAATCTACCGAAATATGAATCACAACAAAAATCGACTTTTTCAAAATTTCACACCAGTTGTGCCCCTTAAATTGGTCTAATGACTTCCTAATGCCGTTTGCCCGATTAGACCCTGCCAAACCAGTTTGGAGACCGGGTCAGTAAAATGCCTATATCTCCGAAAATAATTCAAATTTTCAAAAACCTTCTCGTACCCATATTCTTAGATGGTTAAACTTTGAAAATATGAAATAAAAAAAATCGATTTCTAATTTCTACACTAGAATACCCCCTTAAATATTTTTTTATTACCCAGGTTATGCTGCCAAACTGAGAGGAGTCCTTTTAGCCAGACGAAGGAACACGACTACAGGAGCATCGGCCGCTTCTCAGCCTTCTCGTGACGTCACCAATGGTGATGCAAGTGATGCAAATGCAAGTGACGATGAAGCCACAAGTGGTGGACCATCTAATCAATTGCTGCAGGCTTGTGTCTACTTTCGGAACGAAATTGGAGGTAGTACATATGTACTTTTTGTTACGCAGTTATAGAATTTATTAAAACTCTCCTTCGATAATTCAAGCTGTCGGGTTATAATTTAAACCTTGTAGCTGTGTACAGTATTAAACACTGATTTGTTTGTATATTATGTATTTGTTGCTGTTCTAATTACAATCACTGATTTGTTACTAAGTTATAATGAAAGAAGATATATTTATTTTTATTGCTTATTTACATGTTGTTAAGCGGACTTTACGTAAGGGGTAGCAACCATTCCGTGTAAGGCTTAATGCCCTGAAGTTTGTCACCTTCATGGCCAATATAAAACGAAAAGACGTCCGAACAAAATAATCGACTTAGGAGGCGTCCGTTAGGATATGAATTTTTTTAATATAGTTTTGTCAATGTCATTCAAGAAATAATCTTTGGATATTATTTTTTAAAATACTTTAAAACTACGATATGATACACTATGGGATAGTAAAGATTGCTGCATACTGTTCGGACCTTACGATATCAATTATTTGGAGAATATCAATTTTATATTTTAAATAATGAAAAATTAATTTTAAATAATCCAACATGAAGTACCAGTGTTTATTAATGAGAGGCTAGAATTTTTTCGCTGCTCAATAGATTAAATCGCATGAAATTCCCAAAATAAATAAGTATAATGTTTCAAAACCGAAATATCAATATTACAACTGCATTACAAATAATTGAATATTTAAAAATATTTTTGCAAACAATAATGAACATACTGAAATTTTTGGATGTCCTAAACTATAAAATATCTGATAATTTGATGTACATATGTCTATTGATCATTTTTGACCGCAAATTGCATTTTTTTTTACTTTTTTTATTAGATCTCCGAAACCGCTAGGCCTGCTTTTATGAAAATTTGATCAGTTCTTCATCTTGTCAATACAAGTAAAATGTTTTTTAAATTATTAAAATCGCACGCTCCGTTCTCTTAAAAACTAAGTTCCCGTTTTTGGCACTTTTTGCCCCGTATCTTTGGAACGGCTAGACCTGCCTCTGCCAAAAACTAATCAGCACGTTTCCTTATAAATATGAATCGAATGTTTTTTGAATTATTCAAATCGGTTGATCGGTGTTCCTGAAATCGTCGACGATAATTTGTATCCGCACACACACACATACACGTACACATACACACACATACATCCATTTTTTCTAAGGTATGCCAAAATGTTCATAAGGTTTTCAAAAGTAAATATATATGAAAATTTTCCAGTGAATTATGTTAAAGAACGTTTAAACAAATATTGTTTTCTCAATTTTATTCATCATGTAATAATTGTTTTCGAAGAACTTCATGTAATTAAAATTAACATACATTCATTGACTGCTTGTATTTTTTTTACTTTTTCGCTGGCGATATAATCTCATTCTTTGAACAGCTGTAATATCTGTCTTCACTAAAAAATATTTTCCATTTTAATAACTTTAAAGATTTATAGAAACTACGAATAATATACGTGTAGATATAATTTGTAATCAATAATCTTACGTTTAGTACACGGCACAAACGTTTAATTCGTTTTATTATTTTCAAGGAACAGGGTAAAATATTCTTCATGATTCAGGCATTTTTCATTAAATCAAGATTTGTACTACGATGTAATTTTAAAATGTTTATTTATCTATGCCGATTATCTTGTTGATATCGGTACGCATACAACGACAGATCTCTATTCACATACACGACGACTAATTACAATCGACTCATATAGAAATGATATCATCGAGAGCGAATGACGAATCATTAGCACTCGACTCGGCCGTAACGGACTTTCGTTGCATTTGTACAGATTTAAACCTTAGTCGCGCCTAAAGAAATTTTACTTTAAAATTGATTATTGATTTATGTGTCTATTTTCAGGTGAGAAAGAGCGTGAGGTGTCTTTATCCCGGTCATCGGGTTCCGATGGGCCGCATTTGCCACGTTTGGCTTATGGTGTCAGTGTTTTGGAACCACCAACATCTGGTGATGTCATATCTGATGTTGCACAAGGTGTCAACGATCAAGTTGTTTGTGAGAACGTAGGTGATGTCAGTAGTACTTTGTGGAGAGGAGCGGCTTGTCCTTACCAGAGGGGCATCAGGCCGATCGAAACTAGAGACGATGGTGCTATGTATTATAGAAGATACTTTTATGGAAAAGGTAAGTTCGTAAAGTGACTATATTGTAGTTTTTGTTTATATTTTTTTTTTGCATACATTTATTGCCGATCAAAATAATATACATTTTTAAAAGAATATATGCTGGGTTTAAATGCATTTAAGGGCGTATTCTAGTGTAGAAATTCAAAAAAATCGATTTTTTTTATTTCATATTTTCAAAGTTTAACTATATAAGAATATGGGTACGAGAAGGTTTTTGAAAATTTAAATTATTTTCGGAGATATAGGCATTTTACTGACCCGGTCTCCAAACTGGTTTGGCAGGGTCTAATCGGACAAAAGGCATTAGGAAGTCATTAGACCAATTCAGGACAGTTTATCGTCAGATGAATTATTAATTCGATGTATAGGTTCAGAAACTCAGAACAATAATGAGCCTTTAAACTCGTTGATTTGGATTTTCGCGCCGAAACCGATCTCGGGTAATTGAAATAGCAACATTTATTGCTGTTTGCATATTCAATGAAGGTTTCTTTCCGATTTAAAAAATGATAACCCTTATGGTAATGCAAATTGGGCCAGAAACTCCTCCATTTGCTGTAAGACGAGACAATGCCCGGATTGAACGATCTGAAATACATAAATCCAACGCTTCAAAGGAGGCTAGAACTGCTCGATTTGAAGAGAGAAATGCAGAAAATAGTTTTTTTGAAGTAGAAGAAGGTCCGATGCATAAAGCAGGAATGACAGATTAAATAAAAGTATAACATATCATTTTATGACTTTGGCAGCAAAAAACTTCACGCAAAACTTTAAATGGGTTTTTCTCACAACAGACATTTTCAGTACTGTTGACACGATTTCTCGAGTTTTAATCGACCGATTCACTTGAAATGTTCAGAGAATCTTGTTTATAGTTCTATCTATAGCCTGAACTGGGATTATCCCCAAATTCCAATTTTTACTATTTTTAAAAAAATCGAGAAACTCAAAAACACAATCAAAAATCTCTTTTTTCAATCAGTCGCCAATTTGTAAAAAAAATTCTTCTTACTCATCGCTAGTTCAGGCGATTGCGACATTGTAGATTAATAATCTTTTTATTTTTTGCATTTTCGATGGCTAGGAGGGCTGAAATCATGTCAAGACTGAGGTGCCAATTTTTTTGAGACCACCCACTTCATCAGCTGCCAGTTTTTACAATTTTCAACTTTTTTATTTTTTAATTTTTGTTTTGTATTTTAATAATAATAATGAACAAGTGGTAAAAAAATGGATAGTAAAAACATTCATTGCTTTCTTTTTCGACACTTTAAAAATGACCTAAAATTCATCGCTCTACACTAGAATACCCCCTTAAGAGATTATCTCCTATAAGATCTCTTTTTTTTATTTTTTGACATTTTATTTAAGATCGTATGGCAATTTTTTTATTCAATCTTCGAGTAGGACTTTTCTTGCTTAATTCTTTTAAATATTTGTTTGGGTGACCTGGTAATTTTTTGTGGTATTTTTTGCTTCTTTCTTTTATCATTACATTAATAGTTTTAATTTTTAAGTCTTTATGTAGAGTGTCATTTGTAATAGAACAGGGTGCGTTCATAATCCATCTTATAATTTTCGATTGCGCAATTATTTTTATATTTGAATTTCTTGCGCACGCCCATTGCTCAATTCCGTATGTCCAGATCGGGATAATTATCTACAATATATATAAAAATAAGTCGGGTTTTCCTTCCTGACGATTTAACTCCAGAACGCACGAACCGATTTCGACAATTTTGCATTCGTTGGAAAGGTCTCGGGCTCCGCAAAGTTTATAGCTAAGAAAATTAGTGGTGCATGGTATCGTGCCTTAATGCAAATTGCTGGAACTTCGTGCACCGTAATTGAAAATTCGAGTAATGACATTAGTGAGAATTATCAGAATTATGCTTGCAATTAAGTCAACGAGCAATTCTTGCCGCAAAGAATAATGATGTACGCGCACTGAGTTTCACCATTCAATCAAAAATTGCTGGCGATTTGGTGACATACCAATGATTCCGACTGGTTTTCCGTTTGACTTCAAACGATTGCAATTTCCGGTTCGCAATAACAAGTCGCAAGGCCAATGGCTTAGTGTTTGCGGGATAAATTTCAAATAGATTATTTAGAAAATCATTGTTTTTCACATGGGCAGTTATACGTTGCCTGTTCACGAGTTGGAAAACCATCCGCTTTGTTTGTGTTAACGTCAGACCAAAAAACAAAAAATGTGGTTTACCAAAGAGCACTTCAATGAAACGGATAATTTGCGGATTCACTTTCATTTACTTAGAGGAGTTCAACTAAAAAACACTTCGATTTTTGTAATCGAAATAAAATCATTACTGTTGTGTAATAAAATCAAATTTTTCCTTTTCAAATATAAAACAAACAAAAAATTTCTTCATCTTTTTCACGAAACCATCTGGTGGCGAAACGGAATTCGTCGGGTTTGCTAGTTGTTTTATATAACACATATTTGAATTCCTGCAAATAAGCCAATACAACTTTATGAACTTCTTCTCCATCCGTTTTCTTTTCATTTTGATGTGCATTGACCAGCTTAATTATCTATCCAGATGAATTCTTGTTTAATGAGTTTAATGTTTTTTTGTGTCTGCAGAACATCAAAACTATTTTGGAACGGATGAGCAGCTTGGTCCAGTGGCGGTTTCGGCAAGAAAAGAAGGCACCCGTTGGCGGTTGATTGTACGAACCGCCGATCCGAGGGCACTTAGGGGTTCCTTATGCACCAGCACTGCCGGCACCGCAAAGGAATTGCTGGAATATGTAACGCCTGAACTCCAATTATCATGTTTGAGGTAAGTCATAATATTCAGTTTATTTTTTTTAAGTTTTTATTCAGTTAGTTTTTAATCATTCAGTAATTAATTCAGTTAAACTAGTTGGTATTGATATTTTGCCTTGAGGCAAGTTACATGAACTTCCCGATATGTGTAAATAGTCGACTTAATCAAAAAAAAAGTATAAATAATATACTTCATCAATCCTACTTTAAAAAAACGATAATAATTTTAGCAAAGTTTGACGAATTTTTAAAATTAAACTACTTGTCGTAAGGCCGTAATATTACAGTAAGTTCTATAAGACCATGATGTATATCGTCAAAAAAAGTTCCATGAAAATCGGCTTAATTTTTTTTTTCAACAGTTCATTACAAGAAAACGGCTCGGTAGATTTTCACCTAAAACTAATCAGTACCATTCCCAACTAATATCATTCGAACAGTTTTTGATTTTTTAAAATCGGTTCGGTAGGATGAGCTTAAATGTGGACGAAATGTTTAACACTTCAAATTGCAAAGAAACGGCTTGGCAGATCGTCACACAAAACTGACAAACGATAGTCCTTACCGAAATACATCAAATGGTTTTTAAATTTTTAAAATCGGTTCAGGCGTTTTTGAGAAAACGTCGATCAAAGGTCTAATTTTGACAAATGCCAAAAAAAACGATACCAATTTTTGCAAACTTTGACGAATTTTTGAAACTGAACCTGTTGTCGTAGGTCCGTAATATTTTAGTATGACCTAGAAGACTATGGTATCTACCGTCAAAAAATTAATCATAAAAATCGTCGAAATTGTTTTTTTAAAAACTTTATTACAAGAAAACGGCCCGGCCGATCTCTACCAAAAACTAATCAGATCGATTCCCAACCAATATCTTTCGAACGATTTTTGAATTTTCAAAATCGATTCAGAATTGCGGGCTAAAACGTGGACGAAAAACTTTTCACTTCTCTGCTATTTACGAAGAAACGGCTTGGCCGATCCTCGCACAAAACTGACAAACAATAGTCTTCATCGAGATACATCGAATGGCTTTTAAATTTTTGAAATCGGTTCAGCCGTTTTTGAGAAAACGGCGATTTACGGCAAAAAATCTGTTGGTGCACACGCACACACACACATATACTTTTTCCAAATGTTGGTCTCATTCGATTCAGAATGGCTCGAAACGTCGAGAAAACATAAAATTAGCGAATCGGATTTTTTGATGAAAACATAAACTTCTCCTTCGGGAAGTTAAAAATTAGAGAATTAGAATTAAAAAAAATAAATTCAAGTAAGACGAGTTTAGAAGATGAAATGAGAAGTATAGTAGAAGAAGTAAGAAGGATGAAGATAAGTTTAGAAAAAAAAAGGATTATATGAAGAAGATAGTATGAAATTGAAGATTGTATAGAATATAATGTAGGTGGCTAAATGCTCGAGTAAGCGAGGCCAATAAAATAAATAAAAAACTAGTGGTGTATGGCATCGTGCCTTATGGCAAATTGCTGAAACTTCCCGTACCGTAACGAAATGATCGAGGAATATTAACACACTTTCGGCGGGTCAGGTACTGGTACCCGGTTTTAAGATTGTCATTCAACTGCGGGTGCGGGTATTTTCGGGTACTCAGTCGGACACGTTAGGTGCGAAGAGCGAACGAAATTTCTTATTATGAGCGGTTGCAACGCTAGTTTTATATTTATTATAAAACTATAATAAAATTATAATTTATTCTTTAAAATAATTTTCGATACGTAAATACGTATATATTACATAAATATATGGTATTTTATTAAAGACGATATGTTTTACGTCACCATTTTTGGTAAACAAACTAATTCTTTTATTACTATATTATCATTTATATATTTTGCTATTATCTTTGTATTTATTGCGTTTCGATAATTTATATAATTAACTTCCCGTAGGGTAAGTTATTGTAATGGGCCGAAAATCGGAATTGAAAATTTTTACATTTCTCGACGTTTTGAAGGTTTCTGAACGTTTTGGCATACCTCAGAAAAAATGGATGTGTGTGTGTGTGTGTGTGTATGTATGTATGGATACAAATTTTCGCCCACGTTTTCGGGCGTACGGATCAACCGATTTGAATGGTTTAAAAAACATTCGATTCCTATGGATAAGGAGATGTGCTGATTAGTTTTTGGCAAAGGCAGGTCCAGCAGTTACGGAGATAAGGAGCAAAGAGTGCAGAAAATAGAAATCGAGTTTTTAAGAGAACGGAGCATCCGATTTGAATGATCTAAAAAACATTCAATTAGAAATGATTGGGAGAAGGGGTTATTAGTTTTTCGCAAAGGCAGGTCCAGTCATTTCGGAGATACAGAGCTAAATGTACAAAAAATGCCAGTTTTTGAGAGAATTAAGCGTCCGATTCAATTGATTCAAAGAACTTTCTGCTTGTCTTAACAAAATAATTGATTTTGTAAAAAAAAATTTTTGTTCCAATTTTTTTTTTTTTTTTTTTTAAATTTTTTGTATATCGAAAATAAGTCAGATTTTATTTTTAATTCTGACTATAGTTCTAATATACTTTAAACAAATAATTTCAACTCTGCAATTCAGTTGATATAATTCTTATAAATATTAGACAATGTTACAATATTTATAATAATTTATTTGAAAACATTCAATACTTCTCAAATATTTCGTTACGGTACGGGAAGTTCCAGCAATTTGCCTTAAGGCACGATGCCATAATTGCCTCAAGACAGAATTCCACTTACAGCTAGTTTAATTTTCAAATACAATGCTAAAAATAAGCTATTACATTTTTACAAACAATCGAGCAGCTTATAAACCCATATTATTATTTATGTAATTAACTATTAGGTTTGTCACTAATTTATACACCATAAAAATTAAGTTCGTACAATATTACAAACAATCGAATTTTCAACGTAAAACTCTAGATTGTATATAGTATGATTATAAGTGATATAGGTACTTTATACATGATTGGAGAATGGAATTACTTTGTCTAATTTACGTACCTGATAACAGGTAATTTTATCAAATACAGTATCCGGCGAGTAATAAAACTAATTCATTAATTTACTGTTGAATGACAAATTTTTGCAATGCTTTTCAATTGTGCTTGGATTACAGGTAATTTGAAAATGTATGATATCATATTTCTCGTATGTTATTATCCAACTTCTTTTATTTGAAAGAATTCAACGGAATTAAATGTATTTAATAACCTGTTACTTCCTATTACCTAAATAAATCTTCAAATATTATATATATACATATACATATATATATATATATATATATATATATATACATATTTAAAATAAGCATTTAAGCAAAAATAGTAAAATATGGTATTCTGATTAGAATGGCTTGCGAAGCAAAGTCAGGCTACATATGCAATTTAAAAATTTACTGTGGAAATGGCAATAGTTTAGAGACAACTATATTAGATATATTATAACCTTATTTAAATTTGTGGCATCATGTATACATCGACAATTTTTATAATAGTGTAGTAATAATTATTACTACAAAATAAAACTGGGATTTGTGGGACTATAAGGACAAACAGGGGCCTTCCTGAAGAACTTAAAAATTTGGAACTTAAAAAAGAGGAAAGATATTTAGAAGACGGCAAGAAGTTTTGTTACAATGTTTCAAAAAGAATAGTCCAAATGATTTTTACAATTCTAAACTTATTGCGTAAAAATGTGTAGTGTATAATCGCGTAAAAAACCTACCTATAACAAACTTTTCTGTGTAATTTGATTAATTGATTTTTATCATTAAATTCATTTTTTTATTTCAGAGACTAAACTTATGAGGAATTCCGTAAGAAAACGTATAGAAAATTTTTCTGTGTATTTTGTTTTAAATTTTTAGAATTAATTACATTTTTCATTTCATTGCTTAAACATATGTATCATTGCGTAATAATATTCAACTTTATTAACTTCCCGTAGGGCAAGTTATAGTAATCGCAAAAAAATCGAAAATGAAAATTTTTGCATTTCTCGACGTTTCAAAGGTTTCTGAATATTTTGGCATACCTTAGAAAAAATGGATGTATGTGTGTGTGTGTGTGTGTGTGTATGTATGTATGTATGTATGTATGTATGTATGTATGTATGTGTGTGTATGTATGTGCGGATACAAATTTTCGTCGACGATTTCGGGAACACGGATCAACCGATTTGAATAATTCAAAAAACATTCGATTCGTATTGATAAGGAGACGTGCTGATTAGTTTTTGGCGAAGGCAGGTCTAGCCGTTCCGAAGATACGGGGCAAAAAGTGCCGAAAACGGTAACTCAGTTTTTAAGAGAACGGAGCGTCCGATTTGAATAATTCAAAAAACATTTCACTTGTATTGACAAGATGAAGAATAGATAACATTTTCATGAAGGTAGGTCTAGCGGTTTCGGAGATATGGAGGAAAAAGTAAAAAAATGAGCCATTTGGCGGTCAAAAATGATCATTAGACATATGCACATCAAATTATCAGATATTTTATAGAGATTTTAACAATAAGTATACATTTTGTTAACATTCCTATGGGTTCCGTACCGATTGCTTATGCGTTAGACGGCGACGCGGGGCTTACGCGCTTTATATTTTGTCCCTATGCAGTTAAAGCAGTACGATTGCTTTGAAAAGAAAGTTCAGATCTTCCACAATATGTCAAAATAAAGAAAAAAAATTTTTTTTCAAAAAAAAAAAATTAAATATATTTTTTAAAAAAAAAATTTTTTTTCAAAAAAAAGTAATTTTTTGTCCAATCTATAGTTTCTCAAAAATCTTATTTTTTCAAAGTAATTTTTTTTCAAAAATAATCGTTTTTAAAAAAATAATAATTTTTGGTACGGGAAGTACCAGCAATTTGCCTTAAGGCACGATGCCTTAATTGCCTTAAGACAGAATTCCACTTACAGCTAGTTTGCAACTATTTTACCTTCAGTGTTGATAGTTTTACCTTATAATAACTTAATATTATAGTATTTACTACTGCGTATGAATTTAGGCAGTAAGTATTGTACGTAAAAGAGTGTGCTTTCATGCCATGCTTACGCATTCGCACCGTTGTAAAAACCCCGCTACGGGTACAAGTTAGCCCGAAATCCTATCCGCCGAAAGTGTAAATGTTTTCAAATAGATTAATATAAATACTGTAACATTGTCTAACATTTATAAGACCTATATAAAATAAATTGCAAAGTTGAAATTATTTGTTAGGAATATATTAGAACAGAATTAAAATTAACATCTGAATTATTTTCGATATACAAAAAAAAATAGAAACATTTTTTTTTTCCAAAAGCAATTATTTTGTTGAAACAAGCAAAGAGTTCTTTGAATCATTTAAATCGGACGCTTCGTTCACTCAAAAATTCGATTTGTATTTTCTGCACTCTTTGCTCCGTATCTCCGTAACGGCCGGACCTGCCTTCGCCATAAACTAGTCAGCACATCTCCCTATCGATAAGAATCGAATGTTTTTTGAATCATTTAAAATCGGTTGATCCGTGCGCCCGAAAAATTCAGAACATTTCAGAAACCTTCAAAACATGGAGAAATGCAAAAATTTTCATTTTCGATTTTTGGCCCATTACAATAACTTACCCTACGGGAAGCTACAAAGGAACCAATAAAGTGATATAATAAGTAACGATTGCCTGGTTTAACAATAAATGAATATAATGTGATGTTTACTGTTTATTTTATACTATTTATACATTCTTCTACAATTTGAGAACAATATTTTATCCTAATTAACTTATTTCCTAATATTTAAATTCAATTTAAGAAATGATTATATTTCATTGATTATTATTACATTTTCGACTATGAATTGCCATGGTTTTCTTTGTGAATCAGCATGTGTCTTTGCAGACTATCGAATCGTGTGAATGTCTTATTACAAACATTACATTGATGAGGGCGTATTCCTTTGTGAATTTGCATGTGACGTTTGAGACTTCCTGACTCCGTGAATGTCTTATTACAAACATTGCATCCATGAGGGCGTATTTCTTTGTGAATGTTCATGTGTGCTTTCAGATAACTTGAACGTGTGAATGTCTTATTACAAACATTGCATCCATGAGGGCGTATTCCTTTGTGAATCATCATGTGTCTTTGCAGATCATTGAATTGTGTGAATGTCTTATTACAAACATTGCATCCATGAGGGCGTATTTCTTTGTGAATGTTCATGTGTGCTTTCAGATAACTTGAACGTGTGAATGTCTTATTACAAACATTGCATCGATGAGGGCGTATTCCTTTGTGAATCAGCATGTGTGTTTTCAGAGTACTTGATTGTGTGAATGTTTTATCACAAACATTGCATCCATGAGGGCGTATTCCTTCGTGAATTTGCATGTGACGTTTGAGACTTCCTGACTTCGTAAATGTCTTATTACAAACATTGCATCGATGAGGGCGTATTTCTTTGTGAAAATTCATGTGTTTTTTCAAATCACTTGATTGTACGAATGTCTTATTGCATACACTGCATTCATGGCGGCGTTTTCCACTATGCAAAAGCATGTGAGTTTTCAGGTAACCTTTTCGTTTGATAGTCTTATGACAGATTTCGCATGTTAAAGGGCGTTCATTGCTATTACTAGGCTTGTGATCGACCATATGCTCTTTTAATTGATCAGATTCTGCAAATGATTGATCACAAATGTCACATTCATAAGCTGATGCCTCGACTAACTCCTGTTTGACTTCTTCTTCGATTGTCACTTCAGAGTTCATGAAGTTTTCTAAACAGGTTTCATCATCCTCAGAACACGATTCAGATTTAACAATATCGTCAGAAACATCAATTTCCTGAATTTCGTGTTTAATGTCTTCTTCTGAATATTCTAGTGGTTCAACTTTAATTGCCGGATCATACTCTGACATAAGTGTTTCTTCTGACATTTTTAAATATGTTAACAGCTTATACTCACTTACGAAATAATTGAAATAATTCCAAAATAGGCGTGGGCTAAATAATAACCTAGTTCTAGTTTAATCAACAATCCTTTTCAATATCATTTTCCACAACTGATTTCAACTTAAATTAAATTTATTATTTGACATTTGGAGCATAGAGTATACTTACAGAAAGATGAGACACTTCTCATATCGCTTTCACATTTAACATTGGCGCGCCATTCAAATTCATTATGTTTCACTATGTCTAAACTATTCTATTAAATAATATTAATTTCACAAACGTTTCGAGACTAGGTTTGTCTCATCATCGGTGTATTATAATTTAAAATTTTAAGACCATTTAAATAAAATTTCCAGCAGCAAAAAAACAGAATTAAATACAAAAAATATAAACCAATGGAAAGTATACACAAATAAATTGTAATAAAAAATTAAATAAATAAATAGAAAATTACATGGATAGATATGTAGATAGATAAATAGATAAATAGATAACTAGAAAAATAACTAGTTGAATATTATACATAGATAAATATATAACTAAATAAGTAGATAAATACATATAGAAAATAGTGGGGTGTATGGCATCGTGTCTTAAGGCAAATTGCTGGAACTTCCCGTACCGTAACGAAATGTTCGAGGAATACTGAATGTTTTTAAATAGATTATAAATAAATACTGTAACATGGTCTTATATTTATAAGAGTTATATAAACTGAATTGCAAAGTTGAAATTATTTATTTAAAGTATATTAAAACTATAGTCAGAGTTAAAAATAAAATCTGAATTATTTTCGATATACAAAATTTTTTTTTGAAAAAAAAAATTAAGATAAAAAAATTGAAACAATTTTTTTTTCCAAATCAATTATTTTGTTAAGACAAGCAGAGAGCTCTTTGAATAATTCAAATCGGACGCTTAGTTTTCTCAAAAACTGCCATTTTTTGCACATTTAGCCCGGTATTTTTATTTTAATTTTAACCAATGGCCTTAATATTTCATTAAGTTCTATAAGATCATGAACATGATATATATCGCCAAAAAAGTTCGATAAAAATCGGCTTAAGTTAATATTAATATAATCAATTTTTTTCTAGGTTGGGCATGCAGACACCTCAATGTGAAGAACAATTACTAAAGCTCGATGAACAAGGTTTGACCCATCGGTATAAAGTTGGTGTCATGTACTGCAAAGCAAATCAGTGTTCCGAGGAAGAGATGTATAATAATAGGGAATCCGGACCTGCTTTTGATGAATTTTTGGAAACAATCGGGCAGAGAGTACGGTTGAAGGTAAGGATTATTTGAAAATACAGTTTTATTACAAATAACTTAATGCTTTATTTTATTATAGGGTTTTGAAGCATACAGAGCCGGTTTAGACAATAAAACAGACAGCACAGGGACGCATTCAGTATACGCAGTACATCGAGATTGTGAAATCATGTTTCACGTATCAACTTTGTTACCTTTTACTCCAAACAATCGACAACAGCTTCTACGGAAACGGCATATTGGAAACGACATTGTCACTATTGTATTTCAGGTAAATATAAAAAAAACTAGTGGTGTATGGCATCGTGCCTTAAGGCAAATTGCTGGAACTTCCCGTACCGTAAAGAAATATTCGAGAAATTTTAAACATATTATTACAAATACTGTAACTTTCATTATTTTTGCATTATCTTGTTATATCTGAGCAAATCAAATGTAAATCATAAATCATAAATCAATTTATCTCCAGAACATTAAAAATCGTCATTTCATTTCGAATTCAATATCAAAAAAAAAAGTTGCCTAATTTGCACAAAATTGAAAAAGTGCTCCCGTATAGTCACAGTCTAAACGCATTTGCAAATAATTCTGTGCGACATACTGTGCTTAGCTTGGCGGCATTTTCACATTTTCAATAGTTTTCACAAAATTCAAAAAGTGCTCCAGTACATAAACAGCCTAAACGCACTTGGGTAAACATTTGTACCAGAGTGGCGCTTAGACTGTGCTTAGACTGGGTAATTTTTTAAATTTTTCAATCCAAAATTACAAAAATATTTTATAGAAAATAAAAACAAAGTAATATTTTTTTTATCCTCAAAAGCAATTGTTTTGTCAATACAAGCAGAAAGTTTTTTAGATCATTCAAATAGGATGCTCCGTTCTCTCAAAAACTCGATTTGTATTTTCTGCACTCTTTGCTCCGTATCTCCGTAACGGCTGGACCTACCTTTGCCAAAAACTAATCAGCACATCTCCCTATCAATAGGGATCGAATGTTTTTTAAACCATTCAAATCGGTTGATCCGTGCGCCCGAAAACATGAACGAAAAAATGCGGACATACAAAACACACACACATACACACATACATCCATACATCCATTTGTTCTGAGGTAATGCCTTATAACTGTTCAGAAACCTTCAAAACGTCGAGAAATGCAATAAATTTTCATTTTCGGTTTTCGGTCTATTACTATAACTACCCTACGGGAAGTTAAATATATAAACTAGGTTTTTTATTTACCCAACTCGATTTAATAAATTATTCTGTTTTTTATCTAGGAGCCTGATGCTCTACCGTTCACACCAAAGCATATCAGATCTCAATTTCAACACGTATTCATCGTGGTACGAGCTATCAATCCGTGTTCTGAAAATACACATTATGCAGTTGCTGTCACTAGATCGAAGGAAGTTCCTATATTTGGACCACCAATCCGAGAAGGTAATTGTAATTGACTCTTCTTAAAATATCCTCAATTTTTTGTGGCTAAAATACCCAATATTTATTTATTTATTTTAAATATATAGCCCACAGATTTCTTCCAAGAGGACTCAAAAATACAATTATTTTACATTATGAATAATGATTAAAATATATACAAAATTACAATATATAGTTATTAACATAAAATGCTTAACATAAAATTACATATAATGCAGAATGTAACAATATTATTTATAAACAGAATAAGATAAAATAATGAGACATTTGAAAATAAAATAAAAAGGTTAACTTGTGCAGATGGAGATTATTTGATTAGGTGAAGTGTTGTGAATATCTATTTCATTATTAATTAAGTTAAAGTTAGAGGACATAAGTAAAAAAGGGCGAATTTAAGAGAGAATTAGATTTAGGAGTAGGATAATTGAAAAATAATTATGAACGCGTAGATAGCCTTGGAACATTAAAGGATAGTTGTTTAAGAATAAGAGGACAGTCTATAGAAATATTGCAAAGTTTAAATAAGAACATAATTGTACAGATAAATCGACGTGAGGCAAGGGAAGGAATACCAAATTCTTTTAGTAAAGTGTTGTGGTCAAAGCCACATTCAGGGTAAATTTTATATGTTTTATAATAGAGATATTTCAGAAATTTTTCCTGAACCTTCTCTATCGCATCAGAGTTGTTGGTTTGATGAGGATACCAAATAATCGAACCATATTCTAATTTTGAACGTACATTAGAATAGTACAGGCAAAGAAGTGCATTGTTAGAATTGAATTGTTTACAATTTCTCAGTATCAAATCTAAAGATTTTTGTGCTCTATTACAAATATCAGTTATATGATCCGTGGAAAACAAACCAGAATCAAATAAAACTCCTAAATCTGAAATTTTATTACATCTATCAATGCTGGTGTTAGAGATTTTATAATTAAAATGTATTGCAGCGCGCTTATGTGAAAAACTAAGAATCTTGCACTTTGATATATTTAAGGGGGTTGTTCGTTTTTTTTTTTTCGATTTTGAGATTTTTTGATATTATGAAAGCTAATAACCTTAGAATTATTTAAAAAAAATCATCTAAATATCTATTTTTTTGACGAAGTTATAGATATATACATCTCTATATGTATGATACTCTGAAACCAGTTTTTTCATCCCTCCGCGAGCTATTGTATGCCAGCTGCTCTCTTTTTCATTATAATACCTCATGCACGTGACCTTTTTAATGTGCCAGAATTCTTTGAACACCATGGTGTATTTAGTACATTAAATTAAATGGTGTATTTAGTACATTATATTAAAAACTTTAAATACGTTCTTCTCAAAATGACTTTTTTCAATGCGGTGCCACAAGTTTAAAAAAAAACTACAAGTCGGATGGACTTGCATTTTTTTTTAATTTGTTCACCACTGCAATACCTAGTCACCCTACCTCAAACAACTTCATAGCATTACGCAAAAAATTTTGCGAAGCCCCAAAAAAAGACTCTTTTAACACTTTTTTTTTTAAATAGCTGCCATTTTTTTCCTTCTTGCTTTTTTTCTTTCATTTTGTTAGGGGGACTGGATTAAAACTTCTTCTTCAACATAGTTTCTTTTTTTTTGTTTAAAAAATGGTTAAAAAATGACGGCGAAAAAAAATAAAAAATTTCTTAATATTCTATGATTTTGTAATTTTCGTTTAAAAAAACCACATGTATCTATGATAAATACATTTCAAGAAAAACAAAGACAAATACCTTGCATTTTTTGTAACAAAAAAAGAACAACCCCCTTAAATGTAATTTGTTATAGGCACACCAAAAGTGGAAAGAGTCATGTTGAGACTGTATAATATGTTTTTTTTTGTTTTTTTTTTAGGCGGCGTTTATCCTAAAGGAGCAGCTTTTGCTGACTTTCTTTTGGCTAAAGCAATCAATGGTGAAAATGCTGCACATCGTTCTGACAAATTCGCCACCATGGCTACGAGGACGAGGCAGGAGTATTTGAAGGATCTCGCTGCTAATTATGTAACCACTACAGCTTTGGATACTGGACAGAAATTCTGTAAGGATAAAATACAAAACTAGTGGTGTATGGCATCGTGCCTTAAGGCAAACTGCTGGAACTTCTCGTACCGTAATGAAATATTCGAGAAATTTTCAACGTTTTCAAATATATTACAAATACTATAACTTTTATTATTTAAATTAAATGTAAATCGTAAATCAATTTATCTCCAGAACATTAACAATCGTCATTTCATTTCGAATTCAATTTCAAAAAAAAAATAGTTACCTAATTTACACAAAATTGAAAAAGTGCTCCCGCATAGTCACAGTCTAAACGCATTTGCAAATAATTTTGTGCGACATTTTCACTTATACTGTGCTTAGCTTGGCGGCATTTTCACATTTTTCAATAGTTTTCACAAAATGGAAAAAGTGCTCCAGTACATAAACAGTCTAAACGCACTTGGGTAAACATTTGTACCAGAGTGGCGCTTAGACTGGCTAATTTTTTGAATTTGTAATCCAAAATTACAAAAATATTTTATGGAAAATAAAAAAAAGATGTAACAATTTTTTATCCTCAAAGGCAATTGTTTTGTCAATGCAAGCAGAAAGTTTTTTAACTTCCCGTAGGGTAAGTTATAGTAATCGCAAAAAAATCGAAAATGAAAATTTTTGCATTTCTCGACGTTTCAAAGGTTTCTGAATATTTTGGCATACCTTAGAAAAAATGGATGTATGTGTGTGTGTGTGTGTGTATGTGTGTGTGTGTGCGTGTGTGTATGCATGTGCGGATGCAAATTTTCGTCGACGATTTCGGGAACACCGATCAACCGATTTGAATAATTCAAAAAGCATTCGATTCGTATTGATAAGGAGACGTGCTGATTAGTTTTTGGCGAAGGCAGGTCTAGCCGTTCCGAAGATACGGAGCAAAAAGTGCCGAAAACGGTAACTCAGTTTTTAAGAGAACGGAGCATCCGATTTTGATAATTCAAAAAACATTTTACTTGTATTGACAAGGTGAAGAACCGATCCAATTTTCATAAAGGCAGGTCTAGCGGTTTCGGAGATCTAATGAAAAAAGTAAAAAAAAATGCCATTTGGCGGTCAAAAATGATCATTAGACATATGCACATCAAATTATCAGATATTTTATAGAGATTTTAACAATAAGTATTATATAAATTTTGTTTACATTCCTATGGGTTCCGTACCCATGTTTACGCGTTAGACGGCGACGCGGCGCTTACGCGCTTTGATATTTCTTCTTTAAGCAGTTAAAGCAGTACGATTGCTTTGAAAAAAAGTTTAGATCTTGCAAAATATGTCAAAATAATGAAAACATTTTTTTTTCAAAAAAAAAATTTAAAAAAAATTTTTTTTTTTCAAAAAAAAATAATTTTTTGTCGAATTTATAGTTTCTCACAAATCTTATTTTTTCGAAGTAAAATTTTTTCAAAAATGTTAATCGTTTTTAAAAAAATAATTTTTGGTACGGGAAGTTCTAGCAATTTGCCTTAAGGCACGATGCTTTAATTGCCTTAAGACAGAATTCCACTTACAGCTAGTTATATCATTCAAATCGAACACTTAGTTCTCTCAAAAACTGCCACTTTCTGCACATTTAGATCCGTACCTACGTAGAAATGGCTGGGCCTGCCTTTGCCCTACGGGAAGTTAATAGTCATTACATTGTTTTGTATATAATTAATAAATTTATTATTTTTTTTACAGCTTTGCTATCTTCAATGTTTTCCTCAAGATCATCATCATCTTCCTATGGACATCGATCAGCTCACCAGCATTCATCATCGAATCATCAGTCGCTGAATTCACCCTTAGACGCTGTAGCTTTGGGGGCTCACCAACGGGGTGCCATTTGTTGGCAGTTACTGCTTGTCGACCCAGGACGATCTCAGCCTGTCGATTGTTTTTTGGGAATCAGCGCCGAGACTTTTGTGCTGCTGGAAGAAGCTACGAGGAGGATTGTTTTTGTTACACCGTGCAGAAACATACTAGGTAAGGAGGACGGAAGACATATACGTGGTCTGTTCAAAAAGTACCCGGAATTACTAATAATTAAATTTCGCGGGTCTGGAGTGTCTGATTGTCAAAATTTTTTTTTTATTGTGTTGGTATACATGCCCCTAAAGTATGATGAATTGTTCAGCTATATTCACTGGTACTTTGTCTTGGTAGTCGCTAAGGTTCGACGTGTTTTTCTGAGCTCGGCGATTTTTACAATGGAAGAATTGAAAAGTCAAATTTAATTTGTATTAAATTTTGCGTAAAAAATGAAATAAAGTGTTGCAAAGTGTAAAAATTCACCAGATATGGCTCCATGTGACTTTTTCCTATTCCCAAAGTTGAAGGGACCCATGAAAGGACGGCGGTTTTCCTCGATTGAAGAAAATCGCTGAGAGTGCTCAAGGACATAGCAAAAAGTGAATATCAAGGGTGCTTCGAAAATTGAAAAAACGCTGGCATAAGTGTATTATATCTGGGGGGGACTACTTTGAAGGGGGGGGACCACATTAATGTAGACGAATAAATAAATATTTTTTTGAAAACGAAAATTCCGGGTACTTTTTGAACAGACCACGTATATATATATATATATATATATATATATATATATATATATATATATATATATTATATATACACATATATATATATACATATATATACTAGATGACCCGACAGACGTTCTGTGCCGAAGCCTACATTTTTTAATATAATATACTAATATTTACCGTTTACCTAAAAATAATAATTATTGTTTTTTAAATTACTCTTCACGCCAAAATGCATATACATTTATAATATGAGCAATGTTAAATGTAGAACAGCTTTAAATAAAATGATGAGTCTTATGTACAACATTACCTTGGATTTTTCTATAATTCATGTACAACATTACCTTGAATGTTGTCTATAATTTTTATAATTTCGTTCATATTTTAGCTGATTTTTAGTAATTATAATTATTAAATTACATTTTTCTTAGTAATAATTAACTTCCCGTAGTGTAGTTATAGTAATGGGTCAAAAATCGAAAATGAAAATTTTTGCATTTCTCGACGTTTTGAAGGTTTCTCAACATTTTGGCATGCGTCAGAAAAAATGGATGTGTGTGTGTGTGTGTTTTGTATGTCCGCATTTTTTCGTCCACGTTTTCGGGCGCACGGATCAACCGATTTGAATGGTTTAGAAAACATTCGATTACTATTGATAGGGAGATGTGCTGATTAGTTTTTGGCAAAGGCAGGCCTAGCTATTTCGAAGATACGGAGCTAAATGTGCAAAAAATGGCAGTGTTTAAGAGAACTAAGCGTCCGATTTAAATGATTCAAAGAACTTTCTGCTTGTCTTAACAAAATAATTGATTTTGGAAAAAAAATTGTTTGCTATACTTTTTTTTTCAAAAAAAAATTTTTTTGTATATCGAAAATAATTCAGATTTAATTTTAATTCTGGCTATAGTTCTAATATACTTTACAAATAATTTCAACTTTGCAATTTAGTTTATATAATTCTTATAAATATTAGACAATGTTACAATATTTACAATAATCTATTTGAAAACATTTAATATTCCTCGAATATTTCGTTACGGTACGGGAAGTTCCAGCAATTTGCCTTAAGGCACGATGCCATACACCCAACTAGTTTTACCTGTTTTATCAGTTTATTATTAAAATTATCATTAATTAATATTTGGCTTTTGAAACGTTTTACTTAATTATTTTGGGCATTTTATGCGATTTATTCTATTCAGCAAATCATAGAGAGCAAAAAAATTCTAGTCATTGATTATTAAACATAACCAATAACTTAGCACTGGTACTTCATGTTGGATTATTTTAATTTAATTTTTTATTATTTAAGATATCCAAAATTGCATCTTAAACTTCTCCTAATCGATATCGTGAGGGCCGAATTGTATGTATTCATCTTTACTTTCCCATTTGTTGTTATAAAATGAATTTTCTACGAATTTTAAAAATATTGTGGAATGATTAGTAAAAGATGCAAAGAAATTATATATTGAAAAAAAAACTATATTGAAAATTTAATATCCGATTCTTGTGTTGGCGCCCCCTAAGGCGTGCGCTCGTATTTTTCGCATGCATCGCATTAAAGGTAGGACCGGCCCTGATTGATACTATATTTCATATTTTGAGTGAATTAATTTGTCATATCCTGTTTATATATGTGTCGTTCAATCTGTCTTTGATATACTATAATTTATATTATTTTAATTTTTGGCACATCTCAGCTGCTTTTTGGCAATAATAATGTAGACATTTTATTTTTCTTATTTATAATCATGAATTTATTATGCATATTCTAATATTGTCTAGGTTCATAAGTAAATTGAAATTTTTGGCAGATAATAGTTTTTATTTGTTTTCAATGCAAACAATGACATATCCGTTTTTGTTATTTTGTCCATTTATTTCTACAATATTTCTATATTTTTATAATCACATACAACCTAAAAAATTCCATTAACAAACTAAAGAAAGATTTATCAAAATCCGTATAATCGTTTAGGAGGAGTATATTTACATACATCATTACAGAAGAATTTCATATATAAGATATATGAATCATTTGTATGACTGATTGTTTATTCTTTCTTTTTTTCAAGGTTGGTCTACGACAAATCAATCCAGTGTCCTTCGAGTTTACCACCACCAAGGCGAATGTGTCACCCTAAGGGTTCGTGGAGCTGATGACAGAAGCGATGAGCAGACTGAAATCATGGCCAGGCTGAGGGCTGTTACGGGTGGTCAATTGGCACAAGAATTGACCATCGGACGTAACAGGAACGGACAACTTGGTTTTCATGTGCAACCTGATGGTGTTGTCACACAGGTAAATACAAAGGCTACTTTAATCAAGTGATTGTATTATTAACTTCCCGTAGGGTAAATTATAGTAATCGCAAAAAAAACGAAAATGAAAATTTTTATATATCTTTACGTTTCGAAGGTTTCTGAATATTTTGGCATACCTTAGAAAAATTGAAGTATGTGTGTGTGTGCGGATACAAATTTTCGTCGACGATTTCGGCAACACCGATCAATCGATTTGAATAGTTCAAAAAACATTCCATTCGTATTTATAAGGAGACGTGCTGATTAGTTTTTGGCGAAGGCAGGTCCAACCGTTTCGAAGATACGGGGCAAAAAGTACCAAAAATGGTAACTCAGTTTTTAAGAGAACGGAACGTCCGATTTGAATAAACATTTTACTTGTATTGACAAGATAAAGAATTGATCAAATTTTCATGAAGGCAGGACTAGCGATTTCGGAGTGTGCTGTATAAATGGAAAATGACAAATATAGCCAAATATAAAAGATAGATGAAAACGTTTTGATTCTTGAAATTATATCGGTTCAATAGCATTTGATATCTTATCAATCTGCAATGGTCCCCAGAAAGGTTTTGTATATATTAATTTAGATTTTTATACTATAGTGTATACATTAATTTAAATTAGTGTGACTTCTTGAAGGAGTAAGTTCCTCTACTCAAACTTTAAAAAAAAGATTTTTAAACCCTAGAAGCCACAAATTAAAAAACAAAAAACACTCGCTAGTATGAGAGTATTTTCTATTTCAGGAAATTTTATGAGTAAGCAAAGGACACATCTAACAATAAGTAGCAATTCGATAGACGTTCTCAATTTTTTGAAATCATATTTTATTAAACAAAAAAACAATTAGAATGTTTAAAATTGATTAATTAAAATTTTTCGGAACAGACAATACCCGAGTTTAGCTTAATTGTTTTTAATACTAAAATTGATATTAATAAGTATGTATCAACATGTATCTAATATTTATTTTAATTTTTTAAATTTAATGAATGTTTTTGTTTTAAAAATGTATTATTTTTATTTATTCGAAAAGTTTCTTTTCACTATCATAAAAATATTTTCATTCTTTTATGTGAAAATGATGCATGAATAACGAATAATTATTTTCAAAGTTTTTTAATCAAAATAAACTATTTTTGAGTTCTATTAATTAAAATTAAAAATAATTTTGTTAACTATCTATAAAATTGAACAATAAATAAATTCAATCAAATTCTGCTCTAAAATACACTAAATTTGCGGATAAATTACATAATATTCGAGCAAAAATTTGTTTTCTATATAAAATTCGAAATTCGGTAAAACCGTTTTTTTAGTGAAATTGAAATTTGAAACCGGTTTTCTGAAATGTATAAACCCTAATATGCACATCAAACTATCAGACATTTTATAGAGATTTTAACAATAAGTATAAATTTTGTTTACATTCCTATGGGTTCCGTACCAATGCTTATCCGATAGACGACGACGCGGCGCTTGCGCGCTTCGATATTTTGTCAGTTAATGGCAGTTAAAGCAGTACGATTGCTTTGAAATAAAGTTCAGATTTTCCAAAATATTTCAAAATAAATTTTTCTACAAAAATCCTTTTTTTTTTTCAAAAAAAAGTTAATTTTTGTCAAAAATTTATAGTTTCTCAAAAATCTAGTTTTTTCGAAGTAAAATTTTTTAAAAAATGTTAATCGTTTTTAAAAAAATAATGTTTGGTACGGAAAGTTCCAGCAATTTGCCTCAAGGTAAGATGTCATGCGCCCCACTAGTTCATTAACTTCCCGTAGGGCAAGTTATAGTAATCGCAAAAAAATCAAAAATGAAAATTTTTATATATCTTTACGTTTCAGAGGTTTCTGAACATTTTGGCATACCTTAGAAAAAATGGATGTAGTGTGGTGTGTGTGTGTGTGGTGTGTGTATGTATGTATGTATGTATGTATGTATGTATGTATGTATGTGTGTGTATGTATGTGCGGATACAAATTTCGTCGACGATTTCGGGAACACGGATCAACCGATTTGAATAATTCAAAAAACATTCGATTCGTATTGATAAGGAGACGTGCTGATTAGTTTTTGGCGAAGGCAGGTCTAGCCGTTCCGAAGATACGGGGCAAAAAGTGCCGAAAACGGTAACTCAGTTTTAAGAGAACGGAGCTTTCGATTTGAATAATTCAAAAAACATTTCACTTATATTGACAAGATGAAGAATCGATAAAATTTTCATGAAGGTAGGTCTAAGCGGTTTCGGAGGTATGGAGGAAAAAGTAAAAAAA